TCAGTGGAGTAAATTGATTGCTTTGGGGTGTGTTTTTTTTTTATAACAAAGTTTCTATCATGTGTTCCCAATCTAGTATGTGCTTAATTGCTGATAAGAAATTATGAAAAGAATCATGTGTGCATACATTCAGTCTTTTTAATTGCCCCCTTCAAAGCACTTTTTCATGTGTCTGAGAGATATGAAAAATTAGAGTAGATAGTGCTCTATTAATGTTTTGATTGAGATCAGAAGTGCTTTAGTAATTGTAGTATGATGCGATAGGTACATGTGGCAAGAGTAAGCTGCGGTTTTGTGCAGATGTGAGGTTTACCTGGAAGAGGAGCAAATTGCCGCCTTCTGGCACTAGCTGATGGATCAGGTACTATCATCTTGTGCAGCTCAGAGTTGCACCATGCTTCACACGTGTAAACCTGGACCTCAGGGTGCTCTTTCTGTGATGCAGAACAAGCTGATCTGGACATTTCTGTTGGTTTCTACATTGCGGTTTACCAAGATCTTTCAAAAAAAAATAAAATGAACTCTTCTAGTTTAGTTTGATTGTTACTTAAGAAAAAGACTTGCTTGAGGTGGTTTGCTAGAAGCTCCTAGATCTTAAAGGAATAGTTACGGACAACAAGCAGTTAAAACATGAAAACAACTGGACATCCAGGACGTTACTTCTCATCTTTCTCCTCTTTCCTTCCCCTGTCTTGTGAATCAAAGCTGTTGCGGATTAGAGCTGTTTAGAAGATGGTCTTCTAAACCCTTCAGACTCCCTCTGTCTGGGCTAGCTATTTTGATTACCTTGCAAAATATGACAGCTGTTACAAATGCTCATGTGTATGGCACATGCTTGAAAATGTTTGGAGTTATGAATATAAAAATTGGCTGAAGAAACTTAAGTTCAGAACAGGAGATAATATTGAGAGAGGAAGTGTGATGATGTGCCTTTTCTAGCACCGTGTGTGCATACTTTGCTTCCGTGGGCTGACTGCACCAAGGAATTTGCCTTTCAGTAACGCAAGAAGGGGAAAATTCAGGACAGAAAAGTTTGTTTAATCAAGTGAGGTGTATTTGTAGGCAGATCAATGTGTGGAAGTTACCCTGTTACTCAGAAGGACTATAGAGACATTCAGTGTTGTTTGATTGAGAAAAATTTTATGGTTTGGTGGCCAGAATGGTTTGGGGGACTTTTTAAGACTAAGCTCTAAGTGCAGTTAATATATGTGGTGATACAAGTTTAATTACAATGTATAATTGGTGAGAATACTACTCCAGTGGCTAGCTAAGTGGCTAAAGGACGCTAAAGAGGTGAAGTAGTGGAGCGCACACTTTGTGTCTACTTAGTGGAGTTAGTTCTTCTGCGCTTTCTCAAAGATAATGTGTCTGAGCATCGGGTCATCTTGCTTTAAGGTGCCGTGGGTAAACAAGCAAAACGAAAACTTTGAGTCTTGGCGAAGCAATGGGTCAGGTTAACTCTCTTGTGATTTTAGTGCCATTGACTTTCTGTAATAACTCTAGTGGAACTTGTCAGAAAGAAACCTAGTTAGGAGTAATAACTGTTAATTGAGCTCTCTTCAGTTGCAGTCTAAAATTGAATGCTAGAATTACTTTTTTGAGACTTCTGAAAAGGTCGTGGGTTTTGTTTTGTATAGGTGTTTGGGTTTGTTTTTTTTAGTACTTGACTAATGTGCAAAATACCTAAATGGCTGCTCTAATACACTGTTTCAGCTCTAAACTTTTGTTACTGCTGTACCTTTTTTGTTTAAAATTGCATTTTATTTTAAGAAACATGTAATTTTTATGTGTTAATTTCTAGACATTTTATTTAACATTGACATAAACTGAACATACAGGGAGTCACGCTTATGATGTACTAGTAAGGTAGTGTTTCCCACTACATGATATATGTGCATCAAGATGTATCATCGAGGTATCTAGAGAAATGTCAGAATCCCTAATTAGAATCCTGTGTAGGAAATGAAGGTTGTTAGCTAGAGTTGTTTTGAGATGGCAGTGAACTTCAAGGAGAGTGTTGTTTTTTACAGCCTGCTTGTTTCCAGCACCCTGAAAAATTTCTCTGAATTTCAAGGTTGTTTTTCTGAAATGGCATTTTTAAATAGCCACATAGTAGCTGATGCATAATGAATGAACATATTGTAATGGACCAGAAAGCTCTTAAGACTACATAGCTTGTCTTTCTAGACAGTGTGGATATTGCATGCTTCTGTGGAATTCAGCTTTAGCATTGTTTGGAAATAATCTCAGAGAGATTCTGTTACTTGACCTAACTTGATCTTTTTTCAACATCTTAACCTTGTTATGTTTCAATTTCATTGAATGCTGATTTCTACAAGTTGATGAGTTCCTAGTTTAAATTCTTCTGTGTTTTCCTACAATAGGGAGCTGTTTATGTGCAAGAGAGAGGCCTGTTGCAAGATTCAGGAAGAATTAATTTGAGTTTCATTCAGAAATTCAGAAATTATATATATGCATGTGGCTCACAAACTAAGAAACTTGACCTTCTCTATGCATATTTTCTGTCATCCATGGGCATAGCTGGGGAGAATGGTTGACTCTGAAGGTAATCTGTCTTAAGAGGGAATAATTAAGAAACTGTCTAGAGGGGCTTAGTTTTTCTGTCACAAAAAGACTGAAATCCAGAATCATCATGACCATGAACCTTGTTACTTTTTTTTTTTTTCCCCTCTTCATATTTGGTTCTGTGTTAGAATTAGATTGTCATGATTAAATAATTGCTTTCCCTGTTAAATCTACATTAAAATGATCTATCCTGTGAAGCTGTCTTTCACTTTGCCTATGGCATTGGTTTTGGCTTGCCTATCCAACTGTTTATCTAAAAGATCCCTTCATGTATCTACTGGAAGTAGGCTAATCCTATGAAGCATATGAAATTAGCAATTGATATTAAGGTTGCTAATGCTTCTGGTAGGCATTCTATTTCAAGTAGTGAAGATCTAATTGTGTGCATAAGTAGACTCAAAAACTTTTAAAACTTACCTGTATAGCATAGTGCTGTAGCTCTGGACAGGGTTCTGGGTACATCTGTAATATTCATTATTAGCACCATACAAATACTGATCTTGCATGGTGTTTTCTTAGGCGAGACTTTTATTTGGGCTCTGGTTTATCACATGTAGGACTAGTGCTGGATGTTGAAGGAGTGTTTCAAAGCCTCTTCGCCTGGAGCTGTTCTTCTGATCCGCTCTTTCCAAGTCCACAGAACATATTTTAATTACGTGTTTTTAAAGGATAAATACTATTGCTAGCGTATTATTTCATGGTTGAGTAAATTTGTCTGATATACAGAATCTAAACATGCTTGGCTTGCTTGATTCTGCAGTGATTTGGAAAAGGGTTTAGCAGTGGGGGTACAGTAGTATTTTGCAGAGAGACTCAGGTAATGAAAAGACAAACAGAAAATTATATTTAGGACTGTTCTCCTGGCTGTAGTGAATAATTAATAATGCTGAGGTGATGTAAGCAGAGTTGTTCTACATTTGGGAAGAACATTCTGGTTGTGGTATACTCCTTGTTTTTTCCGGTTGCGTCGCAGCTGTTTGCTAGTTTTCCCAATTCTACTAGTGCTTATGTCCTGAAATAACTCTGCCTAGCTCAGTGGGACTATCTATAAGCCGGGGTGTTTACAGGAGGGGACTGACTTCAGTCTATAATAAATGCATACTGAACTTGGAAGCACTGCTTTAAATTCCATTTTGTATAAGAAAACAATTACTTGTTTATAGAATGACAGGTGAGATCAGCATAGACCAACATTAGGTTGGATGTTGAGAGAAACAGTGAAACCTCCCACTGCCTTCTGACTCTGCTTTCAGCTCAGGGTCAGAGATCTAGAAACCTCTGGTCTATGAAGAAACAGGCTCAGTTAGTGCTCTGTACAAAGATATCAAGATACCCACTTTTTGCTTGAAGCAGAAAAAAATGGGAAAATATTAAGGTGTTTTTTGAGTTTTGTTGGTGCTTTATGCTTAGCAGGAACTGAGTGAGCTGGGAGTCAGCATGCCATCCTGTTACAAAATCTAAAAACTGGTCTGAGAAGACACTGTTTCTACCTGCCTGCCTTAAAATCTGTAACTTAAAAAGAGGCCAAATTTTACCTGTTAAATGTTTTTACCCATCTGCTGCTAATGTTAGAAAGCATTTGAAATACTGAAACACTTAACACTCCTTTTTACTTTGGTTTCTCCTTGGAACGTTTCCAAGCCGTATCTATATCTTGCCCCTTATATACTTGGAAGTTAAAGAGTACGGAAGCACTGCAGATTTCAGTGACTAACGTTTAATGTAGGATGATGTGTTGGCATGCATTAAAAATAACATCCTTTTAGTTCTTCAGACTCTTTGAGATTTAAAATATATTTGAGATATCATGGAGTTTTTTCTTTTTAAGAATAGATTATTATATTTAAATAAAGAAGTAGATTGTTCGTTACTTGAATGATAACTTCTGTGACTTACAAAAAGATGCAAACAGGTTTGGGGAACAAAGCTTGGAAATATTTTTCTCAATGTTATTTGAGTGAAGAAAAATTAAGAAAAAAAAAAAAGAGTGAAACACTGTTTCCAAATATACAGAAGTACAAATATTTTTTGTACTGTGTATTTTTAAAAGACTACATTTGGTTATGATTAGACAAGTTTATTTGCAATATAGTGGTTTAGTGTGTAATTTGGCATAGTTTTGTGTTTAAAAAAAAGTCCATAATGGTTTGTTGATTACTGCCTAGGTGTCTCTAGTTTTACTTTTGGAGCTGGTAAAATCTTTCTGCAGACTCTTTTTTTCCTGAGACATGCATCAAACTCTTCCCAAAGACAGCATGTTGCACTTAGGCTACCATCCAAAGTTATCAGTTATATTGTAAAAGTAAATAAATGACTCGCCTCTGCACCTTTTTATGCTTTTAGTCTATTCTGCTGCAACTGTCTAAAATCCAAGCAGCTAAATTCCAACTATTTTATCTGCCTTCCAGCATACCTCTGTGGACGGATACACTGAACCACATGTCCAGCCTATCAAGTCAAGTAGCAGACAAAACATCCCTCGATGTCGAAACTCCATTACATCTACCAACGAAGAGCATCCTCACATTGGAAATTACCGCTTACTGAAAACAATAGGAAAAGGAAATTTTGCCAAAGTGAAACTGGCAAGGCATGTGCTTACTGGAAGAGAGGTAAGCCTTTCAAAAAAACAAACACAAAGCTGACTGTGTTTTATATTCTCTTTGTCTATCTTTATAATAAGTATTTCTGCTATTCTTTTACCTTTCTCTTCTGAATAGAAGTAGTGCAATTTTTTGTCATCATAAAGGAAGATGCAAAGAGGCTGTTTCAGGATATAGGAAAAGTTAGCTGAGGTGCCTGAGCTTTCTCCCTCTAACCACTCACACACACACACCCCCTTTTTTTTTTTTTTTTTAAATGTAACTTTTTGGTGAAGAGATCAAAAAGTTTGTTGTGCATCAAGGGGTATTTTGGGGCTGGGAGAGGGTCTGTTCATCCCCAAGCATTTCCAAAATCTAAGAGAAATCTATTGATAGATAGACTTCATTGATACTGATAATCTATCGATAGATAGATCCTTGATATTGAAATTGATAGGTAGATCTTATGTTTGGAAGGCCTGGTTTTGTAGTGGACAAGATAACATTCTTCTGTCAGTGTTTGGACAGAACTATAAAACTGATTCCTTTGTGGTAGCATCTGGTGGCAAAATTCTGAGCTACTGCTGGTAGAGGTGAGGAAATTTTGCTTGATGAAATACATAAAAGCAGACATATGTGCATGTTTTATAGATGCATCTATGCTTTTGCTCACAGAGGTGTGATACATTTTTGTTCAAATATTTTTGCCGAGTTTAATAATCCATGGTTGTTTGTTTTTACCCAAAGGTTGCTGTGAAAATAATAGATAAAACCCAGCTAAATCCTACTAGTCTGCAAAAGGTAAGAATATATCATAACATCTGAAATTCTGTAGACAGTTGAACTGTGATCTTTTATTTACATGAGAAAAATATTTGGTCCCTTTGTCTTGCTGAACAAACATCTTTGTGTATGCATGACCTTGGGAGACAGTGGTATCCTACTGTCTTTGCTATATGAGCATGTAAAATTTGTCCAAGGGCAGTTTCCTAGCTATGCATTGCTTCTTTGCTCTTCCTTTCTCCTCCAACTTTACTCTTTACTGACAATAAAATTTCAATCTGATTAGATGCACAAATAGTTTGTCTACATACTAAATGAAGATGTAATGCTGTAAAGGATAGTGTTTTTCTTGGATTTTTCTTTAATGCAATAATTGGGTTTTGTACACTTATAAGCGTGCCAATTTTTGTGGCTTTAATTTTTTTACCTTTGTTTTTATATTCTTTCAACTTTAATAAAATATTTTTTAAATTCAAGGGACCTTTGGCAATTACTTTTTGTGTATAGAATTGACAAGGTCTCAAGTTGTGCGAGGGGAGGTTCAGGCTTGACATTAGAAAGAACTTCTTCACTGTTAGAGTTGTTAGGCATTGGAACAGGCTCCCCAGGGAGGTGGTGGAGTCATCGTCCCTGGAGGTATTCAAAAAACGTTTAGATGTGGTACTTCAAGACATGGTTTAGTGGACATGGTGGCATCAGGTAAACGGTTGGACTTGATGATCTTTGAGGTCTCTTCCAACCATAATGATTCTATGATTCTATGACAAAAGTAACGTAATCAGAACGTTCTTGTTTGTTTGTGCCTGTAGACAGAAATTCGGAAGTCCTTCACAACCATTGTGATAAGTGTTCTAAGAAAACCCTGGGTTTTTTTGTTTGGTTTGGGGTTTTTTACTATTGAACTAGGCATATGTTTGGTTTTGGCTGAAGGACAGAAATATTGCATTGTCCTACGGGAAGTTGCCCGTTACAAACAAAAAATATCCCAAATTTTTACAAATACTAGACTGATGCTTTCTGTAGCTGTAGAATGAGAGAAAGAGGCTGGGGCTTATTGCTATTCTTTGATCTTTGGGTGCCGTTACATTTATTTTATTAGGTAACTTTGGTTATGGGGAGTTATAAACAACTTTAATTCCTTTTTCTTTGATTTGTTTGTTTTAATTTCTCTTCTGTAGTATTTTTGTTTGAGTATCAGTTCTTCAGGATTTTTTTTTTTTTAATTCAACCTACTGTGCAGAGTCCATGCAAAAGCTTTGCTATCCTTAAGTCCTATATCCTAATTAAGCAAATCTCTTTTTGCTGATATTTGAGCTAGTGAAGAGGGACCCACCGAGGTAGTACGTGACCAAGCATACTGGGGAAGTCCTGTGCTACTCATGTAGCTTGTTTCCTACCTAGCTTGGTATTTACACTTGGAGAGCTAGGTGAGTTTGTCTCATTGTTGAGCAATGAGAGGGTTAAAAATGTTAACACTTTCTGGGAAACTAAGTATGAGAAACTTACTTCTGGGATAATTGTTTTAATGATAAATAAGTTGTATTTCACACAACAACATTCAATAATTATTCAATAAATCATTCCAAGTATAAATTAAACTTTCATAGCCTATGAAAGATGCTATCACACCGCACAAGTAGTACACAAAATATTCATGTAATAGGACATCGCTGTTAATTGGTTTTTGGGTGGGAAGCTGATAACAAGAGAAATGTTTTTAGGTACAGTTAGAAGCAGCTTATAGCAGAACTGAGGACAGAAGTTAAATTTAGTGATTTAACCACAATTCCATTCTTCTGCAATAACTGCTAGAAATGTTTATCCCATGCATCTTCTGCTTGGACTGGAAAGTGTGATAATTTGTTGTTATAGTTTTCCTTTGTAACATCTTGATTGTAATTTGCAGAAAAAATAATCTTTGTTTTGAAGCTCTGAATGTCTTCAGCTCCTACAATTTTCTGAGAATGTTGAATGAAACTGAATGTTGATTCCCTGAAAGCTTTTAAGTAAGCTTAAGCACAGTGTTGGCACAGTCACTCAAGCAACTGTAGGTTTTTAAAGCAAGTGAGAGTGGGAGCATGGTTCATCAGCATGCTTAGAATTACTACTTCTGTTAGTATTTTGATAGGTCATTTGTGTATTGTAAATAAAAAAATTTCTTGTTCTGTGAAATCAGTCACTGTAATGTGAATTTTTATAATTTTGTCATCAGGGTTACACTGTACATAGGACTGTTAAATAGTCAGTTTTTCTTCAAGAGGTAATGTTGGGAATGGGAAGCAGTGATAGTGGTATTGTTTTAATAAGAACAGACACTTTTCTAATGAATGTTTATAGAGGAATACTGGAGTATGTTACTGCCACAAAAATACCACTACAGAGTTTGAACCCATCTAAATTAGCATAGTTGAGAGGACAGTCTTTAGAACTTCAGAGCTGGTAAATTGTACGCAGGTCAGCAAAACTTTAGGCCTTCAGTCACTATTGATTGTTACTAATCAAACAAGACAAATATCTAGTGATCTTAGGCACAGGGTCATTCACAAAACCATCCCCTTTCCATTCACTGTAATATAAAGGATACCAAGTGCAAGTAGGTTTTACCATAGTACTTGCTACTGACCTAATTAAGTAAAATGAGTTGAGGCATCATAGCTTCTCATGCACTGTTCTGTTTTGTAAACACAAATATTTAAGTATGTACTTCAGTTGCAGAGAGTGTCATGCAAGCTGGGTCTGTAGTTAGTCATGGGTACGAAAGCAAAGTTTAGTTTGTTCTTAGCCACTCTCCAGTGTTATTTATGCCATATGGTATGGAAAGGGTACTTTGCAGACACAGTTATTTTAACTTAAACCATCAAATGTTAGGAGATGACACAAGTAAGCTGACCTTGTGAATTATTAATTTTGCATCTTTGTGCATGCTATGTGATAGCCTTAAGTTACATTTCTTGCTTCAAGACCTCTATATCTTTAAATAGATAAACAATGTTGAATTAAGGGCACTACCTTTTATTTTGTTTTCAATTTGTTCAGTGTGTGGTTCCAATCTTACTTTGTAAGCACCTGTTTAGAAGACAGAGCTGCTTTTTTGTGAACTTGCTGTCTTGATAGTAACATATTGTACTGACTTAGCTTTTTCCACTGTCATGATTGTAATTTGTTCCCAAATGTAAGTATTTGTGTTTCATCATAACTAGAATTTATATCAAAATAGCTGTTCTATTTTCTGCATGTCTGCTACATTGAAAGTGTCTTCTTGTACTGGCTTCACTAGGGATGTTTCTAAAATAGCATTCTGTTGCTCTTCTGCAAACTGCTAGTGGAGCAGAAGGTGCTTTTTTTCTTAATGGGTTTGATTAGCAAGTGGCATTTCAGATTTTCCCTTTTTAGGGGTCAGCGGGCTTTTTATTCTTTAAACATATCTAAAGCTTCAAATTTAGGTTCTTTCTGTTGTTAAGAAAAGCAGAACAGAAGTAAAGAAGTAGTAGAAGATTTGGAACAATTTCAGTGTTACCTATTGAAAACTGTGCTTTTTTGCAATGTCCCTTCTCAGTAATGATTTAGAAACTAGGGAAACATTCAAGCACATCTTTCAAAGCAAGAAAAAGCCTTGGTTAACTGAAGATTTTTAGTTTGATTGTAGTGACTTAAAATAGTAAATCTTAAACGTAGATGTCAACCTGACAGCAAGTAGAAGCGTTAGCAATGGTGTGACAGAAGATATTTGTACTTACTGCAGTCTGCTCTGAAAAATTAAACTGGAAAAGCAGGAATAAAATTTTCAAGCCTTGGGCCTTTTCATAGGTACACGTTCTACAAATTGAGTATGAGGCTGAGTGTCCTCTACTATAAGTAAGCTATTGAGGCTACAACCCATTTGCAACAAGGAGATGTTTGTTCAAGACCTTTTCTGAATGGTAGCACTTTGTTAAGAATGAAGAGTGATCCTACAAATGGGTGGTGGGGTGGGGGGAGAGAAGTCAGGGAGCACTTACACCTTCTGAGAGAGCAGTATGCTGCTGCTCAAGAAAATAGAGCTGTGTGTGAATTCTGAAAACACTATTTTTTTATCAATAAAATAAATCATTACATAATTTTGCAGCTTGCCTTGTCACGAAAGAGCAGCTATTCTCACTGTTCTGTCCAGATTTCTATAAAATTAACAAACTTGGCTTTGTAGGAAATAACTATGGTCTTGTTGCCTTAGTACATCTCTTCCTTTGCATATAGAGGTATCCTGGGTGTTACTGAGGGGTGTAGTGGCTGTTGTTTACAGGTATCTCTATTTGTAAATATGTAGTTACTGACATAACTAGTGTTAATGACCAGCATGCTTCTGCAAGGGGAAAGGGGAGGGAGGAAGACTTATTGCAAAGTAGTGCTCCATGGAATGTAGAGTTGCAATGTAAACTAATGTACTCTAATACTTGAATACTGTCAACATTTTTATTCAAGTGTTATCCATTGTTCAGAGATTTTCTAGATTGTTTCTGTCTTGTGAGAGAAAATTGAAGGAGTGAATGCTGGCATTTTCTTAATTTGTATAAATGTGCATTTATACTGGACCAAATAAAATCATGAATATACACCAGAACTCCAGAGAGCAGTTCATCTGCCCTATTTCCATCTCGCTCCCCCTCTGCTGTTTTGAACATCTGTATTGAATTAAAGTTCCCTGCTCTTTCTCCCCACTCTGCATTTGAGAGACCCTTACACATCCTCTTGGACCGCAGGGGCCAGGACCTACACAGGGTGTAATGTGGCTGTGTTTGTGGTCTCTACACAGTGCTGTCCCATTATTTCAGTTCTTTCAGCCTTCAAACAATTTCTTTCTTCCTGGGTTGGAAGGTATCTGTCATGCCAAGCAGCTTTAGCAAAACTGCTTGACGTGGTTACATATTAGTGTTATGGAATATGTAAGTTACATCCGCCTAATTTGCAAGATGTCTATACCTGAGTTTCTTCAGAAAAAGGCCTGTAAATGTCATTTTCCAGGTAAACAACTGCTGGAAACTTGTCAGAAGCCGATAACTGCAGAACACGAATTCTTAGGAATGTGGATCTCCCCATGAAGGTGGCAACCTTGTATGCTGTAGTTTCAGTAGTGGGCAGGCAGTTAGGAGAGGAGTTTTGTAGGGAGTACAACCACTTAAGGTTTTTTAATCTTTTCTCAGAGCAAGCCGTTTAGTCAGCAGGTACCTGCAGGTAGATTCCAAGATTTCAACTGTTCTTTCAATTCTTACTCTGCTAGTTTGTCTCTTTCCTTGCTCTCACATGTTTGTAAGGAGGCTGACACCATCCCATCTGTAAAATAAAATAGCCAGTTTCCATTCAGCTTATGCTTGACATGATTTGTGTGGATGAGCATCATCTGAGATAACTTGGACTGCTTCAGCCTTGTCCAGTTCTTGCTCTAGGCATGCAAATGCATTTCAACCAACATTAAAAGTGCCTCTGAGTCAAAATCCCCAAACAAACAAGAAGTCTACCTCAGAGCCACTAACCAGCAGGAAAATACCAGAATTCACCTTGTGGCTTGGTTCAGTTCATTTAGAATAGCTGCTTTCTTTCAAAAGAGACTACATGCTCTTGATATACTCAAGGTGGCTACCAGGACTCTGTACCTGCTTTTGTATCAGAACATATGCTTCAGTTCTCTGAAAAATGGCTAATCAACAGGATATATAATACAAGATGTAAAAAATTTTATTGGTATTTGTATGAAATAAACCTAAGCCCATACTTTGGGTCTTGGTGATGTCTTCTGTTCAGAACTACAGCAAGTAAATGTTTCTTTCATGTAACAAAGTATCTGCATCAGGCCAGAGGTGAGTAATGTTCTGTCTTGAGGAAAAGGACTTTTATGCCTGTTTCCTAATAGGCTTTTTGCTTTATGGAAGAAAAAATTACATATTACATGGAACAAAATTTCATGTCACTGTGAAATCAGTCTGAATCTTAAACCAATTAGTAATTGTTTCTTAATGATCTTTTTTCTAATTTGAAATTATTTTATTTATAGAAGTCTAATATTTTAATCCTGCTTATGAAGACATGTTTTCAGTGCTGTAACTTTTATACCAGCATTAATACATTTAAGTTATGAAATATCTTTCCAATCTTCTGGCAGGAAATGCAGTCTTCCACATACCTGCTTAGAAGCTCTCCTAAGCTCTACCATCTATTGGTTTAGATTTGTTAGCTCCTGACTAATTGATATTGATTTAACTGAGAAACTTTTCCTTGTGCAACAAATTCAAATACTTAGAAAAACAAAAAATACACAAAGAACAGCCTGGTATGATGTTTTTTCATGGGAATAACTGACTTTATGAGGAAACGAGAATATTTGCTAAAGCTAATTCTAGTGCATAGCATTACGTACCCATGTGTTACATTTTGAACACAAGCAAACTGCATCATACTGTTCATATTTTCTCAGAGAAATGCTTTTATAGTCTTTGCTTCCTTCTGAAATTGTTTTAATGGCAATTATAATGCAAGTGGATAGTAACTAGCTTGAAATAAATAATGTAAATATAAAACTGCAATAATATTATTTGATCAAAAGCTTAATTTCAAAAATGTTGCTCTATAGTCTTAACTTGTAGAATAAATGCAGAATTTTAGAAATGGTACGATTAAGTTGCACAAATGGAGGAAAAAAACCCATCAGTGTTGTCTAAGCAAAATAATTTTAATCTCTCCTAACTTGTAGCCTCAGCCATCATAAAACAGAAAGTAATGTGCTGCTCTTTGAGAAGGTGTGCAGTCTCTAGCTTGCATCATTGTGCCCTTTTGCAAAGGTAGCATCTGAACAAATGGGACTAGTTTTGAAAATGGAGGGAGAGATGTCCTCTGAGACATCAGACAAGCAAAACAGCAACAACGCACTTCTGTGTTGAACCAGGTTTCTCTATAAGGAGAAATGTAGTGCTAAGGTGTTTCCAAAATGTGTAAGCATTACACTGAAGTCAGTAAGCTTTCCTTCCTTCGTTTCGGCATCCTACTTCAGCCCAATACAGGACTAAAGAGCATGCAGCACAGTAAATAGATTTAATGATTGGGATACGCTGTTCACTTGAAGTAAAACAGTGCAAGCTTATCAGTATTGACAGCCTTGAGTATAGAGTAACAGAACTATGTAGTCTTTTTGGATTCCTTTCGTTTGCCTTGTTCCCTTTGAACCCCTAGATTAGCCTTGCATCACCTCTTATTTAATCAGTAAACCCATGAATGCTAGAAATTTAAAAGCAAAGACCTCTTGTTTCTAGTTTTTAAAAAAATAACTAAAAAGTAAACCCGCTGTTGTCTTAGGTATATATACTTAGGGCTGTAAGTTTGTCCAGTTGTTTTTAATTATGTGACTCGGGATGATAAAGCGGACTTTCATCAATCATAAACCTTCAGGCCTTCCTGAGAGGAGAGGGGACATTGCTGTTTGCGACCTAGTGTAAAGCTTGGTAGTTGTCAGAAAAGTGAACTCACCCGCTTCACCTCTGCAGAGCGGCAACATTGGGGGACGTTGGGATTCCTGGTATCTAATTCCATTTTAACATCTGGACTGTGTGGGACTTTTCTGTAGTACTACACCCTGTATTTGCACCCACAGTTACGTATGTATTCAGGGTAGTTAGCTGAGCTTGCCAGTCACCAAAGAAATCGGAGCAAAGAGATAACAAAAACATGTATGAATAATCTGTTGGTTTTGGTCAATGTGAAACTCTGGAAAGGGCTATAAAACTTATCTGTGTCTGTTTGTATAAAGCTTCAAAATTTGTCTTTTTGATATATATAGTTGGTAGTGGTTATTTTTATATAATGTATAAGGTGAAGATTATGTTTCCTGGAGTTCACTGCACTATATTTATCTATATTTTTATGCTAATGCTATTTTCTGTGGTTTATGCTGCTCCTTTTTGCCATCCAAAATTGCGTTTCTTACATAACTTTTCCCTAATAAACACAATCTAAGAAAATTGTCCTGCTTCCTTGACAGTTGTTTCGAGAAGTACGAATAATGAAGATACTGAATCATCCCAATATTGGTAGGTGCCCTGCATTTCTGCAAACTTTTTTTTTTATTATTATACCATTTACCTTTTACTGTCTTTGGCTTTATTTTAATGTACTTTACAGCTATGCTTTTGTTCATTAAACTTTTTTGAGATAATAGGACAATGCACGTTCAGTAAATGCTTCATTGTCACCTCCTTTATCGACTCTGCTTGAAACAAGAACTTTGCTCTGAGGAGATAAATGGCTCAGTCCAGGAAAGCCTTAACACAAAGTAGGAGATGCTAAGCGCTCCGATCTGTTGAGGGCCCCAACTCCCCTCTTCTACTGAAATTACTCTTGAGGCCAAAAAGCATGAGTTTCTTAGGTGAAAGTAGCAAAACTCCATTAGTTCAGTCTAGGAAAGACTCCCACTGACTGATATTTCCAGAAAAATAGAATTACAAAGTATGTAATTTTCCCTTTCTGCTTTAGTTCTTTCACCTACCCCACAGCTTCAGGGCCCTACTTTGTGATGACAATTCTTCTGGCTGAGGAGGGCTGGACAGTCTTGTTCCAGAGACAGTTAATGGTCCTGAATTGGCCAGAGGGCTTGTTGCATACAAGGTATGGATGAGATGTACAAGTTACTACATGCTAGGCACTCCCTTCTCATCCCTTGAATTGTTTGTTGCTTTTCCAGCATCTTAGCTTCTGCTGTTTTTTGCTTTCTTGGGGGTGGCAATGGCGGTGTGTTTGTTTTAAATGAGTGGTTACTATTACAATTGGAGGAAAGTCTTTCAGACTTAAAGTTTCTGGTATCCACTTGGTGTTTAGTTGGTCAGAATCTCAGATTTCTAACTGGGAGCAGTTTACTAGCAGAACAGGGAAGGTTTGTATGATCTTAAAGATGCCTGTGTCAAATTAAACACTAATTTCAGCATGAACTCGTTTGTACAGTGTGCATAAACTTCTGAGAGAATTGTTAATTAATATGCTTTATTATCAACTGTGATTTAGAAATTAATTTTGCTTTTTGTCCCCTCAAAAGAATGCTAACCTAAAGGATGTAAAATTTTCGTATGATTTAGCGTTATCACTGGCTACAAAGTATACTTACTTCATGAGTATAATTTTTGTTTGTGCTGTGCTTTTGCTTCCTGCTGCAATCTCTCTCATTCATTTTTCTTCCAGTAAAATTATTTGAAGTTATTGAAACCGAAAAGACATTGTATTTGGTAATGGAATATGCCAGTGGGGGTAAGTGGATTCTTAATTCTGCTTTAAGGATAAACTGAAATATGGAAGCTATGCTGGTTGCATGCCTAGGAAGAATTTAAGGGTTTTATGGTTAACGGGTTATTCCAGTCTGGCCTTCAAAACAGTCCTACCAGCCTTCCCACAGGAGACTTTTTTGCTTGACTCATATTCTGTAAAGTAACCCATTAGGTTTGTGCTTAAAGGTAGTTACAGTTCTGAGATTTCTGCTGGAATATCAGGAGATAATCTGCTGCCGATTCTGGCAAAAAACTTGACTCAATATTTATCTGCTATATTTAGGCAAGTACTGGTGCCTCATTTTATCTTGCAAATGTGTGCCAAAGCCCTTGGAGAGGCAGGTCCGGGGGATGGGAATAAGGAACACGAGAAGGGAGACCAGCAGGATCACAAAGAGCGAGAGGGATAGTGGGTGCCTGCTTGAGAAGCTGCTTAGCATCTGAATGGGAAATGTTTGAATGTGGGAAGGGAATCCAGTGAGGGCTAGTGACCAGCTGGGAAAAGCTGCTCCTCAGACAGTGCAGAGATAAGGATCTGAAAAGCGTTTGAGCAGCTTTATTGGAAAGAGAACAAGAAGGAAAAAAACAGAAGTAATACAGATACTGCTAAGTGAAGCTGCTAGAGATACGTGAAACAAATCTGGTACATAGGAAGTTGCCTGTTTCCCAGTGTGTCTTATATGCAGTATGAATGTTTTCCATGATTAAAGCAAATTTTTGTTGTTGTTTCACAGTGTTTTCTACGTAAATTTATTTTAAAAATTGAAGAAGCCTTAGTATGAAGGGTTCTATTTTTTATGTTTCTTGACTATTAAATGTCTGAAAAATGAAATGCAATGCAAACAGTAAAAGACTTTTTCCTGGTTGCTTCTGATTTACTTTCCTTTCAAGAAGGGGAGGAGAGGGAATGTTGTTTTCAAGCATGATTTGATTGTATACGACAGTGAAAAATAAAACCTGGGCAATAAGACTGATGTTTTCTCCTTGTCGTGGTCAGGAGAAGTATTTGACTACCTAGTTGCACATGGAAGAATGAAAGAGAAAGAGGCTCGTGCAAAATTCAGGCAGGTATGAAATTAACGTTCACTCTTTCTTTTGTTTCTATTTATGGTGTTTTCGGATAGACATGAGTGTGAGCATACTTCTTTTACTTAAAAAAAAAAAATATTCATTGTTGTGATAATGTTTATTAAAGCTGGAGTGGAAAAAAATCCCTGAAGAGGAAAAATATCTGCTTCCTACGTACTATCTAAAAATAGTAACTGTTTTACATTCTTTTTTAGTGGATGTTCCTAAGAGCCACATTTTTATTGTGACTCACTTGAGGTTTTAATCCTTTTCTGAATATTTTAAATTTAACAGATGTTCCATCTAGAGATGTTGATATGATGACATGTATTGCTGTGTCATGTCACACTGTTTTATATGAAGGGTATTCTGTAACAGGTGTTTGCATTCTTATTACAAACTTCCTCATCTTAATCTTTTTCTTACCCTGTTTTTAGTCATTATTTTTTTTAAAGTTTTAATTAAATAAACAAAATTTAGTATTTTTCAGAATTAAGATATATAATGACATGTAAAGAAACTGCTTTTAACTTGCTGATTCAGATTTGGGTTTTGTTATATGTGTATATGTATGTGAAAGATGTATATGAAAATGTTGAATGAACTATTCTTTTGGGGTGAATTGTGGAGATAATGCTCCAGATATTTCAGAAGATAAAGTCTGAGATCATATATCTGGCTATTGGGTTCGGGAGTGGAATAATTTCCTTTTATAGTTATTGCTATTGGGTGATCGGCATTTAAAGTAGATGGTTCTTCTGTTACCTTGAGGAGTAGGTATTAAACTTTTAATACAAAAATGAACTGCTTTTAGAGACTTTTTAGTTTTAGTATTTGAGCTTTAATGAAACTTAGACGAATATTTTCTAAAATGAAAGCTTTATTTATTAATTTCTTATGTTTCACTAAATCGTATCAGGAGCCAAAATTGCTAAATTATATATTAAAACTTAGATTGAAACAAAATATTTCACTGATCATCTTGGTGTTTCAGATTGTGTCTGCTGTGCAGTACTGTCATCAGAAACGCATAGTTCATCGTGATCTTAAGGTAGGCTCTTATTTATTTTTCATTTTGCTGGTTGACACTATAGACTTAATTTCATTCTATATACTTGCCCTTACCACTGTCTCTGAATGCCTCAAACATGTGAATGAGGGAACTAGCACTTGTATTTTATTCTCAATTTTCTGAAGCACAAAAATAACTTAGCTTGCCTACTGGAACAGGGGAGAGGCAAGAATAGAACATGTGTTGCTTTCATTCCAGTTTTGGCTTTAAGGAAAAGACGCTCTCCAAAGAATTAAACCTGTTGACATGCAGGTATCTACACAATGAAGCTGCAGAAATTCAATGATACCAGTCAGCACTACTTTAATTAAAATATTTTCATTCAAAATATATTGTAAGATATATAAAATGGTCTTTTCTTAGTGATTCATGAGAAATATGTTAGGTTTCTAATCCATTTGAACTTCTGGTGTATACACTAGTGTTTAATTCAGGCAGAAAAATAAATTGAAGGTAAACAGAAATTAGTCAAACTTCCCTTTTTTTGATGCTTTCTAGTAATTTATCTGTATAAACATACCGGACCATGTTAAAGAGTGCAGCAATTGCAGGTACAACCTAAGCCTTGAGTCTGAAGTTGTCTTCATGCCAAGTTTAGATATCATGGGACTTGGAGACAAGATCTTCACCCACTTAAAAATTGGCTTATGCTCTTTCTTTGATGTCTTTGTACATTTACAAAGAAAACACTGGTGTGGGTTCTTTTTTACTGATGTATGTAAATACTTGTGAAAAGCTGAGGTTGAGTAATTCCTAAGGGTTTTTTTTCACCAGTATCTTTTGTCTTAACTTTCTTATAATACGCTGCAACATGCTCTAAACCTCTTTCTTACAAATCTGTTCCCTAATACTTGTCAATCTGCCAGCTCCTGCCTGTGCATATGGTGCTGGATAATACACCCTTTACTGCTGAGTCCTCCCTGCCCCAAAACCATTGTCATCTGATGATGGAGGTGCCTGACCAGCACTCTGAAGTCAGAATGCGAGGAAGGAAAGGGCTGGATCTTATGCAAATATTGTTGGTTTTGTTTGTTTGTTTGTTTTTTAAAAATTCCTCCCCATCTTGCGTGGTTGTTTGGAGCCCATGAATGTTTTGTCAAGCTCCCTGCTGCTTAGTGCAGCCACTGTTGTTGAGCTTTCCAGAAGGCTGCACCTAGGGACCTATTGGCTTGGCTGGACAAGCCGCTTTCTCTGGTTGTCTCGGCCCTATACGCTGGGAGTAGGGAGCCAGCCACTTCCTCGTACTTTCCTGGCACTGGCTTGCTCAGCTATATTGTTGAGTCTTACTGCATTAACCCCTGCAGTTATTTAGCATCCTACATCTCACTTTTTCTCCCAGAGCCCATTACAGCCTCGACCCCTCATTCATTTCTTAGTTCCATAGCACACATACAACTCACTGCATTGCTCACAGGACTATCCAAAACTGCTTCACAACATTCACGCAGGATCCCTTTTACCATCTGTCACCAGTACTCTGCTGCTATCTCCTTCCTCTTTGCAAGGCAGGCAGGCTCCAAAATAATTTCTTTGTTTGCTTTTCTCTCTCGGTTCTCTCTTGGATGAATTTGTGCTAGACTCATTTGAAAAGTTCGGTGTTAGGTGTGATTGAGAGGAAGTCAGCCTAGCAAATGAAAAGTACATTCCCCAAAGAAAAAAAGGCTAAATGTATGGCTTTGAGGAGGTGTTCTCACTTCATCTCTTCTTTCCAAATGTTATGTGTCATCTATCTTACTTAAAACTCTTCTCATGGAGCTGCAGAGAAGGAAGAAGCAACTTTAAAGTTTTGTCTGCATCTGCTTGTGTTTACTTCCTCCATGGTATCAGCACGCTGAACAATTGACATTGTTAGATCTCTGCCTTGCGGTGCTAGTACCACTTTGGAGATTTTTTGATAAGCCTTTTTGGCTTTAATAACAGAAAGGGTAAACTCTATCTAATGTAAGTTACTTCAGACTAAACTAGGAAGAAATGTAAGAAAGTGTGCAAGTTTGTGCAGGCTATTCTGGCATAAGAGGAGGGAATGCAAGGCCCGTGGATACTTAAACTGTCTCCTTTTCATTTTCTGTGATTGTAAGCAGCTTGTGTAGAAAGGGCTATAACTAATTCCAGCTTTGCTCATCCTATGACACATAAAACTTATCCTACCTTTTCAGTGACTATTAATACTTTTTGCTCTAAATATGTAACCAACAAGAGCATAGTCTTTCTATTTGGCATATTAAAAAGGGGTTTTTTTGCGTTTTCGGTTTGAAGTAAGGAACCTAAAAGCATGGGGTACTTGGATAGCAGAGTACTGTTGAACTAGGAGGACTATTGTAATCGCAGAGCAGCTGCACTGACAGTAATGTTTTCACCACAAGGAAAATGAAGTCTTTGTGCAGTAATGTAGAAGGCTGTCAAATCTGGAAAATATCTCTGTGAGTCTGTCTGCAGGCACATCAGCTGGAAACAGCTGACGTTACAGGTCATGAATTGGGAAAATAAAATATTTTCCAGGATTAGGATAATTAGTTTGTAAAAGTGGGCTGTATTTTACTCCTGATAAAGGCTTAAATTCTGTTGCACAGCTATTGACTTGATATACTGGTAGTTAATTGTCTCCTATTCTGTTCATTGAGTGCAAGTGAAATTATTAAAAATAAAACAAAACCAACAAACCAACCCAAATGAAATCATGTTTATCCTTTTAATCAAAGCAACTAACAAATTGATGGCTGCTTCTCTGATCCTGAACTAAGACATTTTTTTCTTTTATTTTCTGGGCTCAATTCTGAGTGCAGCATCCAATGAGAGTTGTCTGTGTTTGCTATAAAACTAATGTTTGGCAATTAGGTGAATCCTCTGCTCTGGCTAATGTCTGTCCTCCTGTTGAAAAGGAAGGATTCCTGCACTGCTCAGTGCTGCTCCTGTGTTGCTGACACTGAGATCAGGTGTCGGAACCCAGATGAGTAAACATTGCCCAGTTCTGCTGCACTCCTTGCACAGCATCCTTGCATTTTGAGAAATGCACTTCATTTCTTTCCAGTAATACAGTCATATTTCTCTAACCTTGCTCTTGTAATCTCCTGACCTGCCCTGTGATACTAAGTATAAGATACTGTTTAGTGACTCTCCAGCTTCCTGAATACTTGCATGTGTGTATACCTGATGCATTGTATTCACATGATGGTAGCTGCACAGGCATTAATATTCTTAAATGTGTAATACATGCATTTTTTTCATATACAATGTAATACTTGAGTGTTAAACACCTTGGTGTTATTGCTAAAGCAAACACTAATAACAAAGGGGAGAGAATTTTTTGGTACAGAATGCTAAGATACAGCATGTAGCTTGAAGTGTTTCATCTTGTAGGTGGAAAAGATCTTCTTTTAAAGTCTTAAATCTCTTCTAACATTTATCCCACCAAAATGGTAGGTGATGTCTGGGATTAAATTTACGCTCTTTGGCATCAGAAGGTGGCATGAACCTGTCAAAAGCTGAAACTGCTATTCTGAGATGTCTAGATACTTCAGTCTAAAGCTGAACTAAGTTATTTCTTCCAGAAAAGAAAATCTTCATAGTTGATTCACTAGCTGACTTTCAAGTCTGTTTAGCTGCTTTTAACAGTTATATTTTCCTGAGTAAACATAGTCAGTTTTCTCTCTTTATAATGTATTCAGGGGGATTAGTTTCCTTTGTTCTGCAAGAAAGATACAGATGGTGAACCATTTTAGAAAAAGAAACATTTTTGCATTTATTGATAAATGATATGCTGTAATATATTGATCTTAGTCTGATACATAAATTGTCCTTTTCCTTTTTTATGTTTCTCTTAGGCAGAAAACCTTCTACTTGATGCAGACATGAACATTAAAATTGCAGACTTTGGTTTTAGTAATGAATTTACAGTTGGTAATAAACTGGACACATTTTGTGGAAGCCCACCTTATGCCGCTCCTGAACTTTTCCAAGGAAAGAAATACGACGGTCCTGAAGTGGACGTGTGGAGCCTTGGGGTGATTTTGTACACACTAGTAAGCGGATCATTGCCATTTGATGGTCAGAATCTAAAGGTACAGTTACAATGTGAAAGCTTGGCTTTTACTTTCTTTAAATCTTCTATGTCATTAGTAGGCTCACCTTTTAAAACTTTATTTTAAAGGAACTAAGGGAGCGAGTACTGAGGGGGAAGTACCGCATTCCATTCTATATGTCCACAGACTGTGAAAATCTGCTTAAGAAGCTACTAGTACTGAATCCAATAAAACGAGGCAGCTTGGAAGTAAGTAATTTCATCTTGGGGGGAAAAAAGGCTTTTCAGATTAAGAAAGAATAAAATACAATAATTGCTTAAAACTTCTATATCTTTCACTATAGGTACTTTCTTCCTAATTTAAGGGCCCAAAAGTCTAGTTAAAAAGGAAATGTCTCAGAAACAGTGCAGCTTGAAAATAGAAAGTGTTAATGAATGAAAGTCTAACCTTGATTGCAGCTGACTAAAGACTATCACTTAAGAGCACTTCAAAGTGCAAACTGCTCCCACTTGTTTCAGTCAGATAATGGAGCTAGTTCAAAATGTGTGGAAGGCAAGACAAGATTGTAAATACCTTCTGCTTGGAGTTTTTCAGAAAAACAAAAACAGCAGCAGGCAGTACTATAAGCATTTTTGACTTAACTTACCATTTCCATCATGACTCCTTAAACAGGATAGAAACAAGAAGAATAACTGTGACAGAAAACAAAAAAACATGGGATTTTTGTTTGTTTTAGTGCCATAAGACAAACACTAAGAACTCTTTGAATAATAAGCTAATAATTGCTAGTTATTTCTGTTCAGTCCTTTCTTTTCCCTCTTCTGGTAGCTTTGTTTCTGAACAGCTGGGAAATTAACACATACAGTTTTTAGCTGAGGTATTGTTATTTTGAGGATTTCTACTGAGTTTTGTTGTTCGGGGGGGTTTTTGTTGGTGGTTTTTTTTTTTTGGTTAGTAAATTAGGTTTCTCTTCATGGGATGCAAAGAATATCTGTGCATAATTTGTAAGGTGTCTAAAAGGTTCAGTGTTTTTAAGGGGCTGTTTTGTTCCAAGATTGCTGTATTGGCATGTAGTTATTGCATAACTCTGGAGCTGAAACTTAACAAGTATTTTGTGTAGAGTTCACGCTAAATGCTGCTCTGTTCTATTTTGTGTATTCTTTAACAAAGAGATTTTTTTTTTTTTTAAATAACATCTACTTACCATAGAGATGGAAGTAGAGCAGAAGATAAATAGAATGGTTTTAAAATAGTATTTGCATGAGTTAATCACCAGTGACTTTTGTTTCATCTTTGTGTGCATACTTGTGCAGCAGTGGATGATGTTCTAGAGAATAAATCTCATTTGAGCAGCTTTTTATTTGTAGTGGCATGACTTATGCTTCCTGGCATGGATGCTACCTGTGCAAGGAAGCATGTATTTACTAAACTTTGTCTGCATGGAACTTATTTCAAGCTAATGCTGGTTTGTGACTTCTTAGAAATAGTTTTAACTTGAATAAATCTGTGCTGTGCTGACGAGCGTAGCGAATGGTGGCTTCTGCTTTACTGATGTTCATTAAATATGTTGTATTTAGTATTTATTACAGTCTAGAGGACATAACAGTAAGAGCATAGTCACTTGAAGATGGTGAAAGATCGCTTTTTTACTTGTCATGTTTAAGTTTTAGGAAAATAGATTTTCCTTTTATTGAACTTTCCTCTGGATTTTCCACAGTTTCTCTTCAGATCTAATTTTACTTTCTTTCTAGATATCGTAGTGTTACCCAGTTCTTCTAAAATTCCTTCCTGTCCCTGGGAGAGAGGTGTTGGATAGCAGCCTCACTGGAACGGCATAGTTGTCAGATTGTATGGAAGAGAATGAGTAAATGTTATATGTGATGGGGAGTCTTGAGCCAGTACCAAAATACTGATGATAACGGGCATTGATCAGTATGTTAATCTGAGGGAGACAGACATCACAAACTTTTTTTAAAATGAATGTTCCTGAAATCGCATTTATTGAATTAGAAAGCTGTGGTACATGGCTTGGAAAGAAATGACTATTTCTTCTGTCTGAGCACTTCTAAAAACACGTATTTAGAATGAAAGTATATATTTATTAGACGTTTCTAAAAGTGGGAAGACAGTATCATCTTAGAAAGTATATATTTATTAGACGTTTCTAAAAGTGGGAAGACAGTATCATCTTAGGTGGAGAAGATTTTTGTTTGTGTCCTTTAATTATTTGCTCAGTCCCAGCCATACACCTGCTTAGTTCCCATGCATGTTTTTCCCAGACCATCCAATAAGATGTTTGTCAGTGACAGCATCAAAGCTGAGACCAACATAGAATCAGCACTGTATAGGTTAGGATTAGCACTTTTCTTCTGGTAAGGACCAGGCAAATTTTTATTAAAGTGGTTCATTTAGACTTTTTCATGGTAGCAGCAGAGAGAAGACATTTTAGAAGCAAGAGAATGTTGTTGTAAAACAGTAAATCTTCGCAGGAAGAGATGGGAAAAATGCATGATCAGAAATTATGTAGATCTCTCTTAACTATCAGGATTTCAAAAAATTCTTCCTCCCCCCACCAGTCTTCAATTCTTTGCAAAGCAACACTATGTGGAATTCCCACAGAGCAGATTTATGCTTACAAAGAGTAATAACAAATAATTTTGAGATGGACAGGTCTTGAGCCAGGCCAGATTTTTATTAGATAGTTTTCCTGAAAACTGAGAGGAACCTCGTCAATAATATATAGTTGGTTGAAATTCAGTTTGGGTTGATCTTTAAGAAATACAGTTTGAGTCAGATCTTTAAATACCATGACCAAGGCTGCTGCTCTTTAATCAGCTGACTGGAAGCCCAGCTGAACTTACACAGATGTCATTTGTGTCACTTCAAAATGCTTGATTGCAAGAGCCTGTTTTAAGAGTTGTACAATAACTCAGTACGCCTATGAGATCATGTATTTAAAAGACAGAAGCTCGCAAAAGTTTAGATATTTAACAGATGGGAACCTAGAGCAAATTACATTGAACTATAGATCTACCTACTGGAGAGACATGAAAAACTCTGAAGGTGGGAGTTGTTGGTTTTGCCTATTAACTCAAGAAGGATCAAGAAAGGGAGGTAGGATTTGAGCAGTGTGATTCCTGTCATCCAAACATCTCATCATGCTTAAACTTTAGATTTAATTAACAGTATCTTTAAGAAATTGTAATTGCAGATACTACATAGTACTCTTTGGGGAGTCTGTCATCTTAGTGCACGGTACAAATATGTAACCAAAGTCTGTTGTCAAATAGACCCATGCTCTGGGTGCCAGAAATGCAATACAGCAATATGTGTTCACAATCCTTTTCCTTTTATCCCCCTCAAAAGCCAAACAATCAATTCTGTGGCAGAACTTTGAACAAACCTTTAAGTCTTCTTGTCAGCAAAATGTTAACTGGCCCAAGTACAAAGTTCTGTATTGTTCTTGTAAAGATACAGCTATTTGGGTCTGTAATTTGTCAGCAGCACTACATACAAAGAATTTGGTTATATCAATGGAAAATTGAATCTTTTGCTCTTTGTGAGAAATAACTTAATTTGATGTTTGTGAGGCATATTTGGAGCCTGTGGGAAACTTGACTTGCTGGCACTTGTTTAGCTCTTCTGTCAGTCCAGTGAGCAATATTAGCATCTGTCCCTAAAGAGGCATGTGTGCCTGTTGCTGTAGGAGGGAAAATTGTTTTAGCTGTTTTAAAGATGAATATGTCCTTAAGGAGAAATTGTGGTGGTGGTTAGAGATTCCAGCTGAGCAATCTTGCAGGCATATAAAAGACCCAGGCCACAGCAGAAGGAAATTTTCCAAAGAATGCAGGAGAAATCTTTAAAATATCTGCATGGCATAGAGAGAGTTAAGAGGCATTTTTCCCTCCAGCCAAACTGTGAACATATTTGGGTCAAGTGCAGTGAGAAGATCCATAGGAAAAAATGACCAGTTGGCATCATGATCTTGAAACAAATGACTGTAAGAAGCATCAGCACGCTCCTGAAATATTCCTTAGTTTCTAAACACTTCTTTTGTTATTATTTGAGGGAGTTATTTACTGTAGTACAGTTGGTATTGTAGTAACATCTGGGGATCTTAACCAAGATTAGGGCATGAGTGTCAGGCACTCGGCAAGACAAGATTAAGAGACAGTGGAAGTGAAGAGTACAAAATGGAAGATTTTTGGGTGTTAGAACTGCAGGGTTTTTCTCTCCGTAGTTTTTATGATATTTTGGGCGGGGGGAGGTGTATCGTAAAGGGTAAACAGTAGCGGGGAATGAACTAATGGAAACAAAAGAATGTGAAAGACAAGAGAAGAAACTGTGAGATGTGAGCGGCAAAGATGTGAGGGAATGAGCAGCATTCAGATTATTAAGAATTTCAAGTTGTTTTTCCCCAGACCAGCTAGCACAGATTTAATCGGATATGGTAAATGGCATATTGACCTAAAGGTCATTTCTTTTCTTAGCAAATTATGAAGGATCGGTGGATGAACGTTGGCCATGAAGAAGAAGAACTAAAGCCATATACTGAGCCTGAACCAGATTTTAATGACACCAAGAGAACAGGTAAGATTTTTACAAGGATGTTGCATCTCATGTACGTAGGCAATTTTATCTTGTCAGTCAAACTAAACTCTTTTATTGAATTTGAGAATACAATCTCATCGTACAAGTAAAATGTTTCCTTTTTATTTAAATGAGAAACTTCATTACAATGCCCTCCCTGTAGCTACTGTTGTAACTTCGCTGAGCTGACATGAATCTACAAGTGCAGCAAAAGACAAATAAGGTTACAGAATTAACAGGCAGAAGGAAACAGGTTTTGTTATGAGGGCCATAATTTTTGTCCGCTGTGATTAGG